CTTTGCTAACACATTTCTCAAAACTAAGAGCACAAGACAGAAAACAAGTCAGCACAAGTCATCCTACCTACTCTATTTAGCCATACCCTTAGAACTGAAAAGTACAGTGGTGCCTCGCTAGACCATGATAATCCGTTCCACTGAAATTGCTGTTTAGCGAAATCATTGTCTAGTGAAAAGCATTTCCCCATTGGAATGCATTGAAACCTGTTTAATGCGTTCCAATGGGGAAGAATCATTGTTGTCTAGCGAAGATCGACCATAGGAAAGCTGCTTTGCGAACCACCAATCAGCTATTTAAATAGCTATCTTGAGAAGCTTAAGTATGGAAAACACCCATTTTGCAAGCACGGAGGGAGCTGTCAAAATAGTTGTCCAGCGAAAATCGGTTTGCGAAGCAAGGACCAAACATTGTCCAGCGAAATTCCCCCATAGGAATCACTGTTTTGCGAATCGCTATAGCGATCGCAAAAAGCCAATGTCTAGCAAAAAAACCCCCTGTCATGCGGGGTAATTGTCTAGCGAGGCACCACTGTAAAAAGTATTCTTCTAGTATTCTTGCTTGAAAAAGGAAATTGTTATAACTAAGTACGTAGTTATTTCTAACTAGTTATTTCTATGATTAGGAGTGGGAGCATATAGGTCTATACGTTCCAATTAATCTCTGGATGTCTCGCAGTAGATCTGCAAAGATCTTTAATTTCTAGGAGTTTAACAATAGCAACAGAAAGATTAACCAGGCCAGCTCAAGTATATATTACAGAACATGGGAAACAAACAAGATGAGCTTGAACTGTTACATAGAAAAGCAAATATGGTTTAATAAACACTATGAAAATTGGGTGGCATGACACTCGCAATTGGAATGTGAGAACTGAAGGACAGAGCTTACTAAATAGGAACTTACACACATGGCACATTCTTACCTTTGTGAACATGCCTGAATATACATTCATATGCTCCAAATTATGACTCAGCCAGAACTATAGGGTTTCTATTATACCCACCCTATGCTTCTCTCCTGCCCCATCTTCCTGGGCTCAGCAACAGGACAGTAGAAAACACACACACACATGCACACACAGAGAGTGTGAAAGAAGCAAAGGTTTCCAAGCCACTTGATGAATGAGTTGCAGGGTGATTCCTTTTCTAGGTTTTAGTTGATACCTTGTACATGCAAGCAGACAAAGACTGGAGTGCAGAAAGCCAAGCAGCACACAAGCCATCATAACAAGACAAGCAGGCAGGCAAGTGAGGATGTAGTGACACAGCAAGGGAAAGTTGCATCAGGATTCCATGTTTCCTTGGGTTTGTTCAAACTAGCTGACCACACAGGGAGAGAGGATGAAAGCCTTGTTTGCAACTTGTTTGGACAGAGCACAAGGTAGGACAAAACTCCTCCTCCAGCAAAGAGTAAAGTGGTCTGAAAACAAACCCAAGCCAGTGGGTACCTGAGGGGAGAGGAGAGAGTGAGCGAGCTGAAAAAACCAGTAAGGAGCAATCTAGCAGGGTTTTGTCTGCCAGAAAAGTGCTAGTGCTTTGACCCCCTATGGTGTGGCACAACGACACCACTGAAAGGTGGTCTTCAGTTATGATCAGAGCAAGAAAAAGAACAAGGAAACAACAGATCTGCTGCACTGAGCTAAGGAAGAAGTCCAGATGGGTGAGAGAGATGGAATTATTGGACACACATTTTGCTTGTATCTCTCCTTAAAATGAAAAGAGTGCACCACGTGCTGAAAACAGTTTCAAGTCCCAGAGCCATATGAATTACCTCCAAACATACTAAAGGAATTTACAGAAGTAATCTGAGAATCTCTTGTCTGTATTGCTGGAAAACAAGTAAGCCTCCCCAAAGACTAAAAGTGGGCAAGTGTCCCCTATCTTCAACAAAGCAGGGGAAGAGATATGTGCAGATACTGACTGATAAGCTAACACTTCAGAAGACAGAATCAGGATGCAAGGTGACTTTAAAATATCAGAGAAGTGGGCAAAAAAAAGTTTGTTCAGAGTTTCATCAAGGAAAAGGGAAAGTCTTAGGGTGGGATCACGCCATGGAATTGTTCCCTACCTATGCTAAAGTTAGACTGTGTCATAAATTTGTGCTCATGCAATGAATGGCCATTAGCGATTCATTATACCATCCAACAGTGTAATTGTGGTTTAATTCCCACTTGTTAGGATGTTTCTGGTTTTTTTTGATCAGGTGAGCCCTGGGTAGGTGGGGGTGGGTATCTTTTAAGTGCAGTACTTTGCTTCCAGAGGCACCGGTGCAGCAGAGGAAATTCTACCCATCAGAAAACACTACTTAACATATCGATATATCATTTAAATTTTTTTAAAAAAATAGTGTCCCATAAACAAGAAAGAAAATAATTGGCAATACGGTGTAGCCAGCCATATGGATTTAAACAGAAGAAAATGAATTGGTAAGATTAAAGCATGTTGTGATGTTCATTCAAGTACAGTGGTGCCTCGCATAACGAGGGCACTGTTTAATGACGAATCCGCATAGCAATCTATTTTTTGGGATCGCTAATGCGATCACATTACGATGTTTGACTAGCCTAAACATCGCATTGAGATGATCAGTAAGTGTTTCGCTTAACGATCTTCGCATTGCGATGTTTGCGGAACAGCTGATCAGTGGTTCCAAAATGGCCACCGGGTGCCCAAAATGGCCACCGCAACCATTTTCGCGTGATTTCCTCGCTTACCGAGGCGGCGAAAATGGCAGCGCTATGGAGGATCTTCGCATAACGGTGAGTTTTTGCCCCATAGGAACGCATTAAACGAAGTTTAATGCATTTCTATGGGTTTTTTCCCTCCGCATTGCGATGTTTCCGGATAGCGACGATTAATCCGGAACGGATTAACGTCGCTATGCGGGGCACCACTGTATATATAATATGTGATCACGATGCATTACAACAAAGGTATGAAAAATATTGTTAGAAGTGGGTAATATTTCCCCTGGTATAACTACGACCTCACATGCAAGTAGGAATAATCAGATGCACAAATATATATTGGATGACAACTGCCCTGGAAGTAGTGTGTATGAAAACTAATTAGGGGCTTTTAAGACATAGAATCATAGAATAATGTAGTTGGATGGGGCCTATAAGGCCATTAAGTCCAACCCCTCTGCTCAGTGCAGGAATCCAAATCAAAGTAGCCCTGACAGATCATTGTTCAAATTTCTCTTGAATGCATCCAGCGTTGGCACATTTACAATCTCCCAAGGTAGCTGGTTCCATTATCATACTGTTGCTCTTGAATGCATCCAGCGTTGGCACATTTGCCAACCACCCAAGGTAACTGGTTCCATTATCATACTGCTCTAACAGTTAAGATATTTTTTTCCTAATATTCAACCCAAATCTGGCTTCCTAGAACCCGTTGTTACATGCCCTGCACTTCGGGATGATTGAGAACAAATCCTGCTCAAACATATCAGACAAAACCAAAAAACAAACAGAATGAAAAGAACTAGAGACAAAAATGTTGTGGCATCTTAAAGACTGTTATATTTTAATGTGAGTTTTCATAAATCACTTACTCAGACGGAAGAGTGAGATTGTATGACTGTCATATTTATACATAGCCCCATGACCAAATGGGAGTACAGATGAAGGACCAAGTGATAATTGTTCATTAATAATGGAATAGGCCACCAGGTTGTGAATAATTATCAGTCTATAAGGTAACAATAGCACAGTTGACAGAAGTGGCAAACTGTGTGAATCAATATAGTATTTCACACCTGGTAGTGACTTAAGAACACTTGATTGATATTTAATCCTTTTAAATGGGTCTCTAACATCCATGTATACCTCAACTGTTTCACTTTCAAGTCTTATTTCGTACTGGTTTTCTTCCGGAACAATGACTCTCAAGTCATTCACAGAGTGTCCAGGTAGACTGAAATATTCTGAAACAGGTTTTTGTGTATTGCCATTCCTGATGTCAGATCTAAGTGTATTAATTTTGCCAGAAGACTGGCAAAATACACACAAAAGCCTATTAGCTCCACTAGACTAGCCAAGCACTTTGCAATCTTAGCAGATCACATGACGAATATATATGTTTTTCTATCAGAGCGAAGACCATAGAAAGATACGGCAGCCCTGCTTCAGCAACAAAACAAACTGATCAACATTTTCTGCAGCACCGGCCAGCATCACTGGAATTTCCATTCTATCTGCAATAGCAGCCACCAGCTGATTACGTATACTGTTTATCTGTTCCTTTAATTTAAAGAAGTCAAAGCATTCAGATTGGATAAATATTCACCTGTAACACTACACGAAGGCAAGAAATAGTGAGAAGCAGGAAGTAGGACATTAAGCAGCAGCAAACTTCATTATGAGATGCAGGCAACACATTCAAAGGAGACCATGGCTTTCCCTCCATAGATTCAAACAGTCATACAGCAATAACTTGGGTAAGAAAACTCCATATTTTTCATGTGTGTTTGGATATACTGAAGGCTAAAGAATTGCTTAAAGCTATAATGCTTAAAGCTATAACTTTTGGGAGCTGTAATCTTTATGTTATTATGCAGTAGGGCAACCCTATAGGGCAATTCTAAAAATTTAGAATGAGGGAATCCAAACAAACAAACAAAAATATGACTGTGAAACTGACTATTTTCAGCATCATATTTGGCACAGATATAGAAGTCAGTCTGCTCTTGTGATGGGCCTAAGTTAGGGAAGTTTAGGCAAAAAAGGTTTTGAGTTATGATTTTTTAAAAATCAAATTATTTTTACCCCTATGCAGAAACAAGTGATCTTACATGTCCTCAGATTTAAAATAGCTCAGACAAATTAAGAAGGTCAATCTAGCTTATCTTGAAAGAGAATGGTTGGTCCAAAGTACTTTTTAAAAGTAATCCAGAGTGCAGGGGCTGAAATACTGTTCCTCAAAAAAGGCCTTTCAAAAGGGAAAAGCAACCATTTTTGTTATAAAATAGGGCATGTATGGAACAGACTTACCAGCAAGAGTGTTCAAAGTAGATACATTATTTCAGCTTCATGAGTTAGGAAGCGAGAAGTTTGGAGGCAATGAAAGATCACAGAATGGTCAAAAGGCAGGTTTTCTTTGAGGAGTAAAAAAAAAGACTTGCTTTAAAGAAAGAAATAGAGTCACAGTTCTCCAGAAAGAAACCTTTTGCTTTGTATCTCCAGGAAATTAGCATACAATTTTGTAAGACATATTCAAAGTATTTCTACATTACAAAAGCACAGAGCAGTTGTGTTTGTCCCAGGTCTCCATGCTTTCAGTAAACATTATCTCAGGATTTCTGAGACTAGGCTCTTGACGCATGTCTTCAAAGGGGAAATCAGCTCCAGGTCTGGAGAAATCTGAACTTTTGACACTTTCAGTCAGGACCCAATTAGTTGACTTCGGGGGGGGGGGATATCTTTTTAATTCTTTCCTAGCCAAACAGACATTCATACTTACCAAGGGATTCTGCATCTGGCTGTTAAAAACATTTTAAAAGGAATAAACAGAGAAACAATATTCAGAAGATATGAAATTATTGTTTTTTTGCTTTGTGGCTGATCTTACTCAGTGTTAGTAGAACTCCTATGTCCTGTCATTCCACTCATCCTTTCAATCATTCCACTCCTCTTGTCACTATACTGTACAACCATTTGGTAATTAAGAAAAACCTCTGAAGATGTTATGTGCCATCAAGTCACTGATGTGTGGTGATCGAATGAGTTAAAGACCTTTAAAATGTCCTCTCATTAACAGCTCTGCTCAGATCTTGCAACCAACAACATCTCACATTAGGCTGTTCTCTCTTCCTACTGTCCTCCCCCCACAGCAATAGTGTCTTTCCAGTAAATTCTGTTCAGGTCTTGCAAAGTAATATCTGTAGCTTCCTTTATTGAGACAATCTGTCTCATGTTAGGTCTTTCTCTTTTCCTACTAGCCCCCACGCCATTTCGCCCAGCAATATTGTCTTTTACCGACAGCACATTTCAAATGAGTTGATTTTTGTCCTGTCTTCCTACTCTGTCTTTCTTTCATATGGTATGGAAGATTTCAACCCTGGTTTCCAGTGACAATTTTGCTACGTTAAATGAGTTGATTTTTGTCCTGTCTTTCTTTCATATGGTGTGGAAGATTTCAGCCCTGGTTTCCAGTGACAATCTTGCTACGTCCCAGCTCTCCCTTTTTTACTTTCGAAAGGTGGGAGGACCTCATTTGGAAAAAACATGCACACAACATGTTCATTGAGCTTTTTACTATTCACAGTTGTTGAAAAATAGCCCTAATAATTGCTTATGAGAAATGGTTAACTGATGGGGAAAAAAAGTGTTAGGTTCTGGGATTCTGAATGGGGGGGAAGGGCCAAAATTCGCGAGGAGTAAACAGAAACATTTTGCTGGTGTGACCGCAGCCTTAGAGTACTATGAGAAACGAACTAATGACCTCAGGAGGGAAATGCTCCAGCACTGGAGGCAATAAAGAGAAAATTAGACAGCCATCTGCCAGATCTGCTTTGATCTGGATTCCTGCATTGAGTAGGGGCTCAGACTTGAGGGCCTTAAAGGCCCCTCCCCCCCATTATTCTATGATTCTGTTCCTGCATTGAGCAGGGGGTCAGACTTGAGGGCCTTAGAGGCCCCTTCCCCCTCCATTATTCTATGATTCTATGAAATTAAATGTTCCCCTAAACACTTCCACATCATGAGGAAAAGACCAATCCTTTCCTACCAGAAGTTTTCCAAGAGAGGTGCAGGGAGGCAAAGGGAGAAAACAGAAGAAGGTGCAAGAGCGGGCAACTCTGATTCAGCAGAAACATGGCTCAATATGCAGGGATTCAAATGCAAACTTTGACGACTTTGGCTGTCGTAGGTTTTTCCAGCTGTTTGGCCGTATTCTGAGACTGGCAAAAAATGTTAGGAAGAAAAACCTTTGGAACAAGGCCAAACAGCCGGAAAAACCTACAACAGCCATCGGATCCCGGCCGTGAAAGCCTTCGGGAATACTTTGAAGAGTTTGCCTGTTGAGACAATTTCTGTTTTCTTCCACACTTGAATATTTCCAATTTTAAGTTTTTTCCACTTCGAACATGGAGACATTTCCTAGTTTTGATAAAAATTTTGATAAAATTGGATTCACCCCCTTTCTGGAACACTGTCTTCACTCAGCTTACCTTAAACAAGGGAGCATCTGCTAGGCCATACCTGTCCTTCCCCCTTTGCCCCTAGGCGTACAATGCTACTGCAAACTGTTAAAACAAAGGACCTCACATTCCAGAATTCCTGAACCACTGCGTCCCTGGATACAAACAGGCCAAACATAATTATCAGAGGAAGAACATGCCTTCTGAAAACTGGATGGACAAACATTCCTATCCCTTCTGTTTTTTCCTGCAGTGCTGTTAGTTTCGCCAAGCCTGAGGACAGCCTCACAAAGATGGGAGAAAAGACAATGGATGTGGTCAGCAGCTGATCTACAAAGCCACATCCATCTTGGTAACTCGCTGGTAGTCCCTTGGACTCCAGTCATCCATGCAGGCAGTTTGTTGGCTTGCTTTTAATACCCGCAGTAACATGAATTTGCAAGCAGCTTTTTCCTTCAAGGTCATTTCGAAGACAGGGTAACCTCTGAGGCAGAAGGAGGTGGGAAAGGATGGGAAGTGGTGTGTGTGGGGGACATGGTTTCTATTGTATCCATTAACACATTTTAAAAAAAGCTATTCTTTGGAAAATAATAGGATCCAGCACATGTAATTGTCCGTTCACGCTCCCTCTGCACAGCATGAGCAAAACGAATAGGATGTATGAATTGCGGGAGGGTTGAGGATATACAGCAATATTTACTACAGATCCCTGAATTTGCCATAGCTTAGTCATGGTTTTTAGAATCCATGTATCAAATAACAACAGAAATTTCAAAATTAGGCTGATGAAACAACAACAACAAAAAGCTTGGTGTTGACAGTGGAGAAGGTGATCAAAAACAAGAATACATTCTACCGTGATGGGGCTATAATCTCAATTCTGCTATTAAAATACAACCTTCTTCATTTACTTCCTCTGCTCAGAAGCATGGTTCCATAATTCTAAGTAGATATGCACTTCCAGCTCCTTGCACCGCTATTTTGCTCGTGGCTTTGGTTGAATTTTGGGTTAAGAAAAACACCAAATAAATCCAGAGAGCCTGAGGTCCTCCCATCGCTGATGTACAAGGCTGAGCGAAGGCTGAACAATAGGACTGATGGAACGGGAGTAGGATGCTGAACGTGGGTTGCATTAGATGATCGGTTATTGGCAGAATGGGGCATTTGTGTGTCAAAGCTCTATCAACCTCAGGTTCTAGTGCACTGCGCTAGCAGCGGTGATGCGGTTTCTGGGTCTTGCTACCAGACAAGATAAAAGTGAGCAGAAAGACGGCTGCAGCATTGCAAGGGTCAGTCTCGTTTCCTGACAAGTGCCTCCGAGAGTGGGGACGAAAATGCAAAAGGGATCTATGGAAAGCTTTGCATAGAGAAAGCCGGAGAGGACAATGGGATTTAAAGGAGTGGCTGAAGAAAGAGGTAGTTGCATGCTGATAAGAACTGCACAGTCACAGCACTGGATGTAAAAACAAGGGAACAATCTTTCCTTGTAGTCTTTCTCATTAAATGCTAGTTGTGATAGATATATGGAAGATGGGGAGGGGGAAAGATGGATTCGGACGAGTACGATTATGCACACACAGTGGCAGGGGGCCCAATTTCTTAGAAGACAAGAACATTGCTTCAGCAGCTGATGGAGATGCCGCTATGGATGTGTCATTCCAAAGGTGAGGTATGCACCTTGCATACACAAAAAGGCATCTATTGCTGTGAAGTATATTAATTGTCCATATATGTAATTCAATGCCAGTTCTGATCCTGTGTCCTTTCATACTCATGCATGCATGTGCACACACAGACACACAAAGAGAGAGGGGGGGGAGAGGGAGAGAAACATACAGTATTCCCACTAGGTACCAAGACACATTTTCCAAGCCCCCTTCCTAAATTTTCCCGGTTTGTAGCTGGAACAATGGGGCACTCATTACAGGACAATGTATAGCAATCTTCCCACTCCACCCCACATGCTTATACTCCTTCCTCTCCCCCTTTCTTTCAACCCCCCCAACACCCGCTGAAGCATAATTACTGTACCTTAATGTTTGAACTGCAGAACACTCCAAGCTGTTTCTTCCTGATGGAGAGGAAGCAAAGGAGAAAAAGAGAGAGAGAGAGAGAGAAGGAGGGAGGGAAGGAGGAGGGAGGAGACGGCTGTGAACAGACAAACCCAAGTGAGAGTATGATCTTTGCAATAAAGGGATGGATGACACTCTGGGTGTCAATGTCTTCTTTCCAAACAGAATGAGGCCAGGAGCGTGTTAGGTCCCCCCCTCCTTCCCCACCATGTGTCCGTGTCTCTGTGTGTAAATTTAACCCTTTTGTAACAAGGTACGGAAAACATCTTCTTTTATCTCATGCCAAAAAAGGGACAGAAGATACACCAACACCCAAGACCTGGAAATAATAAGAAAGCCAAAGACACCACTTAAATGTTGGTCTGCTTACAATGAGGAATAGATCACCGGCTCAGCCTAAGACAAGAGGATGGTATTTCTTGCAAGGGAATGAGGCTAGCTGGGATTTCTGAGAGACTTGTTGATTGACAAAAGGATTGTACATTTCATGTTATAAAAAAAAAACCTTTAAAAAAACAGAATAGCATTACCAAGATAAACCCTGGAAAGAAAGCTTTTTAAAAAGCAAATGGAGTACAGAGTTATAGTCCTGTGACAGAGTAAGGTGAGGCTCTCCCTAGGAGGAAGATGTCCAACCATGATGGAGACCTTTGGTCAGGGACACCCCTTCCCCATTGGCTGCAGTGGGAATTTTGGCACCCCCTGCTGTTCTGTCCTCAGTGGAGGAGAAAAAATGGACACGTTCCATGGCGGGGCCTGAATCAGATTGGGAGAAGGTTGACCCCCCAACGGGTCTTCCCAAGGCCTTCCCGTTGTCACTTTTGGAAGTAGAAATGATGCGCTCCAGCCCTGGAGTTGTCACTGCCGACAATAAGAGAGAATCACAACAGTGGGGGGGGGACCCTCGAACAAGAAATTTGGGGGACGGGAAGAAATCCTGCCCCTCCTTCCATGAAAAATGTACTAGTGACTTGATGGCGCATAATAAAAGTTGCAGTTTAGGGCAGACCTGATTAAAGCAGAGTCTGGGGACCACATGTGATTCTAGGACCGCAGTTGTATCGTTTGGCATTTCCAAGAATCACAACAGTGGGGGGGGGACCCTCGAACAAGAAATTTGGGGGACGGGAAGAAATCCTGCCCCTCCTTCCATGAAAAATGTACTAGTGACTTGATGGCGCATAATAAAAGTTGCAGTTTAGGGCAGACCTGATTAAAGCAGAGTCTGGGGACCACATGTGATTCTAGGACCGCAGTTGTATCGTTTGGCATTTCCAAGGCCCTGTTCNATACCCTCCCCCCATACCTCCATTTTATTTTATTTTGTTTGGTTTTGTTTTAAATAAAAGATACTATTTGGGTCAGTAGAGGGTGCAAGAGGGCTTTTTAAGTAAGTAAACTTTTAAAACCTACACTTGTTTTTTCAGTTAACAAAAACTTACAGTACATTAACTGCATTTTCTCATGTGTAGTCTAGAGCTTTTTTAAACCTTCAGTGTAGGCATGCTTACTTTTCTATAGTTTTGTAAGTGCTAATATTATATAATATCTTGGATTGGAATATGCTTATATTAAAATGGAAATGAGACTTTATGAAATTCATTCCATGCCTATTTTGATAAGGAACACCCTTAACTACATTTTCAGATATGTGAGAGTGCCCTGTACATTATGCAACTCTGCTTCACAGGAAATAAACAAGTATAGTTTACATAACACAGAGAAAAACTGCAGTCTCAGTCGAAAGATCTCCAAGCTCCTGCCAACCTAGTGGTTCGAAAGCATGCAAATGCAAGTAGATAAATAGGGACCACTTCGATGGGAAGGTAACAGCATTCCGTGTCTAAGTCGCACTGGCCATGTGACCATGGAAGATTGTCTTCGGACAAACGCTGGCTCTATGGCTTGGAAACGGGGATGAGCACCGCCCCCTAGAGTCGAACACGACTGGACAAGAATTGTCAAGGGGAACCTTTACCTTTACCTACATTTAAAAAAACCCCTAACAAATATATAGATTTGACTCTTTAGCCATGTCCCTCCTCTTTAGCCACTCTTCATGGGAGTGGGCCCTTCAGGCTGCTGACAAGTGTGAAGACAGTTCTCTTGCTGAGATGGCCCACATGTGGTTTAGGACATCACATTATCGAACTTCATCTAAATTTAAAAACCCAAACCACTAAATTCAATTCTCATAATACACGTCTCCAAAAATGATGAAGGGTTCATAAGCTTAACATAGTTCAGGGGCCACACATGTCCTAATTTTGCTCTACCTCCAAATTTCCGGCTCAGATTGCACTGTTTCCTTGGTTTTCAGGAAAGCCGTGCAGAAAAACAAACATATGGTGTTTTCTCTCTATATACCGATATTCTGAAAATGAAGGTGACAGTACAGTCCTTTAAAATGTTCGGTTTCATCTGGACATATTAAAAGAAAAAAACCTCCTGGGCTAATGGAAGGACGGAAGGAAACATTGCATGTCAGGCAATAATAGGTCAACGGATGTTCGGCAAGTCCACTCCATCCAATAATTTCATCTATCACCTGGCATCAATTCAGGCTAAGATCCCATTAGCTTTCTGAGCTGCAAGATCTCTAAAAATGTTGGCAAGAAGGCTTCTTGTGTTCTCCCATGCTCTGTTAGGCACTGAAAGCCTTGGGAAGGGAACCCTGGACTCTCTCTCTCTTCCCATTCCCATGAGGGAAGTCTGCGTAGTAGGTATTTCAAGAGGCCTGGACAAGGTCTAGATCCTAGACTCTAGGACCTTGCGTTGGTCCTGCTCGATTCATTTTTGAGGCTCTGAGGACAAAAACCAACAGTGCTACTCCTGTCCTCTGAAGATGCCGGTCACAGAGACTGGCGAAACATTAGGAAGAACAACCTTCAGAACATGGCCAAAGAGCCCGAATAACGCACAACAACCAACAGTAGGCTGTTTGGCCATACCCTATTTGTTTCCCAGTATCCGTTTACCTGAATGTTGGTGAGTCATCTAACCCGCAACATGGGCTTTTTTGACTAAGCAACTCCAAACGTCTTACTCCTTTCCAAGATCCCTGACTGTTGGCGGATGTCTTTGGTCTTCTTACCGGCATGGCATTGGATGCCAAGCGTAACTGAGTCCAATTTCATATTCACGTGACATGCTACTGATACTACAGAAGGCATTCACATTGAGAGACAAGGAGTCCATGAACCTGAATTTGAATAAGGATTCTGTCACTTCCAATCTACCGGGCACGACTACTCATTGGGACGCAATAGACTTTTAAACCTAGTGTGGTACTGGTATGTATTTGGTCTATTTTGTCAATGTGAAGACTGAGGAGTGGCTTTCCATTTTCCTGTGCAAGATTACAAAAGGACCCTTGTAGCATCACCTAAGGCAACTGGCAGATTGGCCGGTAGGGTTGATTGACAAAAGGGAGGACAGCTTCTTTGTCTGCAAAGGGGAGAGGAACACTCCTTGCTCACCTCAGTCTCATCCAGAATCTAAATTCCATTTGTTGGCTGTCTCCTTCACAAGTCTTAGGCAGTCCATTTGGCCCCCTTTTTGAACCATCTGCCTTAATCTTGAGACTAAGGCAGATGGTTCAAAAAGGGGGCCAAATGGACTGCCCTCTTCACCTGATGAACAGTCAATGAGAACTTGTAAACTTTTCTATGTAAGTTTCAGTGATCTAATCAAGATATTGTTCAACCTCAGACTAGAGTGCACACTACGGAGACTACAGAGATCATATACAAAAAGAGCATGCAGAAAACATTGCAAAAATCCTATAATTATATATATGCACAGACAGAGAATGAGAGAGAGATAGAGAGACAGCACAGATGCATTGTGTTAACTCAAGAAAAATCAAAGAAGGAATACACTATTCACACTACCAAATTTTTGCACACACAGATACAGAGAGAGAGAGAGAGAGAGAGTGAGAGAGAGGTAGTGCGTTTATAGAAACTACGAGATGAGAGAGAGAAAGAGAGAGAGTTTGCTAAAGAAATTATGTAAACATTATAAAGAGATAGATAGATCGATGTAGACAAGGTTGTGTTATAAACATTATAAACATTATAAACATTATAAAGAGGTAGATAGATCGATGTAGACAACGTTGTGGATTGTAACCTCAACATGTTCATTGACATGGCCATGGAAGAGCATCAGGCAACCAACTCCGTTGGTTCCTACATGTGATTCGTTACATACGGGTTGCAAAACTGAATGGCAACCAGTTGCACAACTGATCACTCAAAGGAGAGGGAAAAACTACTAGGCAAATGTCCTTGCTTGTCGTTCCTGTTAACAGGATTCGGCCATAATTTCGACTGGATTGTAAGAGTGAAGGGGAAACAGTAAAAACTACTGACAATCATATGTACAGTATATGATTTCTGCAGGGTTAGTGGCAAAATGAATGGTATAGAAAGAAGTTGGCTGGTAAAGGAAAACAAGAAAACCAAACAAGCTAGGAGCCATTTTGATTAAGACCTTAAATCAACGCACTATCCCAATCTTCCACCCGCTGTGTGACAATATCCTTCCTTTGGGCTGGATGCTTCCCCCATCCCACTCTAATTTGGTTTTTGTACATCATTTTCTGTGCATATTGATCATGACCTAAATTGCTTGCACTGGGATTTTAATTCATTCTCAGCGGCAGTAATCGCTTGAATTTAAATATACTCTTTCCTTTCCCTCCCAAGCATGTAGTTTTATGCTGCAATTTAATTCACAATACTGTCTCCCTGCTTATTGATCTTTTTTTAAAAAATGATACAGGCAATTCCACGGCAAAACAACCCCATCTCTTTCCTCTGTTGCAAAAATGCTTTCGTGTTGCCTGGGCTGCCTGCCCAATTATACCCTGAGACAGAGAGTTAAGTGTCAAAGACCAAGTGGGACTTTTTCAAAGGCTTTACAGTATTCTGCAGGATAGGAGAGCACATAGGGCTCTTGGCCAAAGTGATGTGCGTCTTCGATCAAGGGAAAAGTCCTCTTTTTAAATACACATCAGTTA